TGTACATCTTTTTCTGCGTCTCTCGTGTGCCCCCACTGGCCCCCTCTCTTTGCGTGCCCCCGGTGCGAGGGGTGGGTGGGGGGGACACCTCCGCGCGATGTTGTCATCCTCCCCCCCTCTCCGTCGCGCGCCGTGGTGTCTCTCTCTCTCTCTCTATGCCCCTCCCTCTCCCCCTCTCCCCTTTTCCTCCCTTGCGCAGCCGCGTGCGTGCATCCCCCTCTCTGGCCCTTCGCACGGGGCTGTGTCCTTGCTGTCCCCCCATTCCCACATGCGTGCGCGTGAGTGTGGGCGGTTGCTTTCCTGTATATATATATTTCCCTCCCTCCTCCTCTCCCCCCCCCCCCCCTACCCGCCCATTTGATCCTCGTGTGTATTCTTCCCACAAGTAAGTGAGCAATACAACTCGACCAAGCCTCGACTCGTGTTCGTGTGCACATGTCTGTGTGTGTGTGTGTGCGCGCGCGCGCATGTCTTGCACATGCCGCTCGCGTGTGCTGCCCCCTGCACGCGGCTGCCCGCTGTGGCCCCCCCCCCTCTGCTGTTGTGGTCTCTCCTTTTCTTGTTGATCCTGCCCTGTGTGGCGTGAAGGTCATCCTTTTTTTCCTTCATCCCCCTCCGGTTGGTGTACTATTTTCACATTTTCTTGGCGGCCACATTTTTTCATGCGTGCGCGCAATGTGCGTGGGCCGGTCGTTTCCCGCGCCGGGATGGTTTCTCCTGACTGGCATGCGTGTGCATGTGCGTGTGCGTGTGCATGTGCGTGTGCATGTGGATGTCCATTTATATATATATATACACGCACGGTCGAGCGCGTTTACATGGGCACACTGGTCCGCATGTGCGCCTTCCCGCGCCTGCACCGGCATGCGCCTGTGTACATGGATGTCCTGTCACACAGGGCTGCAAAGCCATGGGAATGGGCGCATTCGCCTCGACGCACAGGCGGGCCGGGGGCGCTGGAGCATGAGGCCATGGAGGTCGAAAGACACAGAAGCCGGAGGACATAAAAACATCTACGCGCATCTATACAGCGGCAGATTTACAGGGAGACGCGTGGACACAGGCGCTTGGCGCAGTTACCCTCCCTCGCCCCACCCCCCGAACACACTCACACCAGGGAACCCCGCACCACATGCGCAAGGAGAACACGGACAAACACCCCTCCAGAGCAGGCAATTCCATTTGGTTTGCCTTCCACACGGGGGACGACACGGCCTTTCAGGACCGGCGACCACGCAGCTGGCGGAGGCGGTTCAGCTGGCTGGCGGTCGAGGGGGAGCCAGCGTCGTCGGCCAGGGTGGCGGCAGCCGCACCGCCGGGCTCCTGGCTGCCGGAGTCGCGGAGGCCGGCGTCGCCCTCGCCAGGGGCGGTCTGCTGGCGGGCGCGCTGCATTTCCTCCACGGCGCGGATGTTGCCGAGGGCGGCGGCCGGCACGGAGCGCGGGTCGGCCGCATACGCGGCGCACACCTGCCGCGAGTGCAGGCCCAGGCGAACCCGACGCTGGCCGGCCAGGCGGGCCAGCTGGTCCATCAGCCGGTCGAGCACGGCCGTCGGACCGGCCCCGGCCAGCTGGGCATGCACATCGGCCGTGGGGGCCAGCCGCACGGTGGCCTCATGCCGGGGGAAGGAACATGCGTAGGCCACATGCCGAAGGAGATGCCAGGCGGCCCGGCCGGTGGCATAGCCCGCATCATCGCCGGTCACCGTGCAGGGCGGGGCGTCGGTGGCCGCGCACACGACCGGCGCGAAGTCGCCATACCGCGTGGCCAGCATGCCCACCGGCAGCAGGGGCCCACCGGCGCCGGCCGGGCCGCCGGAGGGGGCGCCCTCGCCCTCGAGGGCGGCCAGCAGCCCGGGCCCGGTGAGCCCCGGGTCGGCGGCCAGCAGGCCGCGCCCATTCGACGCGCAGCCCTCCGGGAAGAGGACCACCGGCTGGCCGAGGGCCGCCTGCCGTGCCAGGACCCCGGCCAGCGGCACGGCATCCGGGTGCCTGGGGCTCAGGCGTGGCAGCGGGGCCAGGGCATGCAGAGCCGCCTGCGTCGGGGTGATGAGGCGACCGACGATCTGCAGGCGGCCGGCACGACGGAAGGCGGTGAGCAGGTGCATATGCGCGCGCGCGTGTGTTTGCGCATGTTCGTGTTGGCGAGTAGGCGCATGTATGGGCGTGCGTGCGTGCGTGCGTGCGTGCGTACTTGGTCATCGGGTGTCGGCTCGGAGGCCGCTTGGAAGAAGGCCGGCGCATAGGCCCGCGCCAGGAGCAGGACGTCCACATACGACGCGTGGTTGGCCAAGATGAGGGTGGCCCGGGACAGGTCGTCGGCGCGCGCGGCGGCGGGCGTGCTGGCGGCCCCGGGGCCGGCCGGCCCGGTGGTCGAGCGCCGGTACGCCGGAGCCGTGACCACCTGGCGCTCGATGCGCCAGAAGCCGATGATCCACAGGCTAAGCAGGGCCGCCAGGCGGTCCAGTGCCCGGGTGGCCGGCAGGGCCGCCGTGCCGGCGGTCTGCCAAATGCACCCCGGTATGTACGGGCGGGCGGGCGGCGGGGGGGGGGGGGGCAGCAGGGCAAACCGGGCGA